TTTTTTGATATTAACTATTTTCATGAGTTTCGAAATGATCTCGATCTATACCTCATAAGTCTTTTCGTTATTTTACTTTCGACTAAGAGAACGTGTGAGAGTGACAACTATACATGAAGCAGAATCTATTTGACTTAAAGACAGATTTACTGATCCAAATGTGAAATGTTCTTATGGTTGATATAAAAAAGATCATATTAGCAATCATTTCATTCTTGTCTTGTTTGATTTCTGTTTTCTGCGTATAACAACGAATCAAACTAAAAACATTATACATAACTCGCGAACAGTAATCCTTCTTTCCTGCATATTTCGATTTATATCTACGATAAAAACGTGTTTACCTTGTAAGATGGATAGAAATCAATCCTCTCGCTGTTACAATCGTCAGGTAACGTCAACGATATTTATGTATAGAATGGGTTGTTGACCATCCAATATGTATACATATATCCCTTCGAATCGATATGAAAAGAAAATCAGTTCACATTCCCTTCGAGAAAAATACGAAGATTCTTGTTAAGAATTTTATGATAATCAAAGAAGAACTTAAAAGATGTGAATCGAAAACAATGTGATCTGAATGAATTTCCTGGTCATCAGAGAATTTTGTAAAAGATATTTCAGGACTTTTCAAATAAAAACAAAATTGAAATTTGAACGAAATAAAATAAACGAATTGAGAGTTTAATTTAAAACAAAACTTTCCTCAGCGACTTTTACATACATTAAAGAATCACTTGGCAATAAAAAAAGGCTTTCTTACAAGTCAACTATTGATTGTTTCTGTATCGGATGAAAAATTTGCACGAGGCAAAAATAACTTCTACGATGGAATAAAGGATACCTTGCCTTTGTGTATAAAAATTTTTGATACTATGATTCAAAGAATTGTACAACTGAAAATTCCCATTGTGCAGAAAGAGAAATGAATATTCGAACGGATCGGGATCGCTTGATCTTTATATTTTCGGAATTATTTCATTTAGTTTTTCATCAAATAGGAAAAAATCTTCTCAAATGATTTGCCGTATTCTTCATCGATTTATCAAGAAAATTGCATAGAAAAAAATGAATTTTCTTCGATTTTGTATCTGTTGTTATTATCGAATGAATTGTTTGTATTTCGTAAAATATAATAAGAAAGAAGAGATATGTTACGTCGACTTGGAAGAAATATCACAAGTGAAAATACACAGGAAAATTTTCAAAATTATTTCGTTATTTGTTTGTGATGTAATCAACGAAAAGCGAATAAGTTTTTCATCTTTAAAAACTCATATTTCTTTCATAAAACTTGTCATTTCGCATAGAATGGCACTAGTAAATAACAAAACACAATGTTGTGTTTGTAACAAACATAAAGTGACATTTTCTTGTTCAAATCATTTCTGCTTTGAAGATTCAACACAACTATCAATAATTAAGCTCAAATCAATCGAAAACAACCAAATTCTTCGTTAACGAAACGAATCGATCAGTAGGAAAAGAATTCGATAAAGCTGATTCAACAAACAGTTATTTAAAAAATGCGGAGGATTTCGCGGTGATATTCAGAAGACATCCAACGAATTTTATTAGAGAAATCAAAGAAATTCAAGAAGAAACTGAAGTGAGCGAGAAGATTTTGAACAATTTCAAAGCAAAAAGAATGGAAACTACAAAAGAATTCATCGGAAATCTTTCTTGAAGAAGAAAATTCACAAATATTCACCAAAAGAACCTCCTGTATCAGTCTTTTCTCATTGACAATGCCACTGAATGAATTCACATCATACAGAAAATAAGTTTGCGCTTCCTTTTTGTAGAATCAAAGATCAGAAAATGAAACTACTGTTGCTGGTGGAAATGGAAAAGGAGGCCAAACATAATCAGTTCAAGTGTTCAACATTGATCTTTGCTAATAATAAACAATCTGTTTATAATTCTTACATTATCGAGTTGTCATATATCCATAAATAATATCCAGACAAGAAAAGAAATTCAAAGGATTATCTGTTCTTTTATTCATATAAAAAACAGAAAAGAGTATAAAACAATTCTTCTCATAGTCGTTGATAATTGATCGTAGATATTTATCCCCAGGTCGATCATTCCGGCGACTGGATCCGTTGAAATCTGAGTCGGTTCCGGTACAGCTCTTCTCGATTCCAGCAAGTTCCGGCAGGTTCCTTGCCGCTGGATTCCGGCTGGAACCGACCGTGCCATAATAACCTGGGTCGATACACTTTTTTAAGTGAATTTTCTATGAACTGTATTAGTTCATCGACTTTTCCTGATAATAATTCACTAAAGTAAAAAACGGTGATCAGTATCGGTTCAGAATGTGAAGTATTCTTACTGATTATTTTTCATAAAGCAATCTTGCTTAAATACACCTGAGAAACCCTTAGGACCATGAGTCTAGAAATACCGTACAATCATGATTAGGTATAAAGTGAATTCAATACATACAAATAGAAAATGTAAAATTGTAGGTTCAAATCGAAATTCACATGTAATTTCATGGTTTTCTTTTACGTAGTCGATAACGATCAAACCATCATGAAAAATCTCCCACTCCCACGGAATGAATTCACTGACCTAAAAACAAAAAGGAATATTTTCTTTGGCGGAATTTTCTCTCACTTCATTCTTGTAAATGACCTTCAGTCCTTCTCGAATGAACACATAATGCACTACCGGGATAAATTTTGTCATGGGATGTAAGCCGTAGTAAGGAAGATATAAGTTTACCATTGTAGATAGAAATAGAAATGGAAAGTTCTCCATGTTCTAAAATGATCGATTAGGACAAGTGTTTTCAAAAGCGAAGTTTTTTTTCTGTTTAGATGGTTATCAATGAAAAATAAAACCAAAATACGAATCTTTCGGAGTTATTCGTGTGAATATTCACTAGAATGAAGATCGAATAGAAAGAGGATCACATTCTCTCGAGATATCGGCTAATTCAAATAAGAAAACACGTGTGAATGAATGAATGAATGAATCCACTATCTCTCTGTTTTCTCTTACGATAAATCTTTTCGGGAACGATACGTATTGCGTCATTTCTCTGTTTCGAGTGATATGTAACTTTATGCAGTTTCTTTTTTCCGTCGTGTTAAATGTCTTCTAGTGGCGGAGCCAGGATTTTATAGGGTACTGGATCTCCGTTCCAGAGCATGGGTCCCAGTTAAAACTAATGGAGGATAATATTGGTGACAAATGATGAGTTTCCGCCAAGTGATTTTTGCAATCGAAGTTTGCCAAAAAAATTAGCATTTTCCTGTGCCCTACCAGAAAATCTTCAATACTGTTAACAGTGTCTCATTTTTGAAAATGCTATAGAAAGCTACATCAAATTTCATCGACAGATTTCAAATTTCATTCAAAAATGCATTTTTGAATGAAATTTGAAATCTGTCGATGAAATTTGATGTAGCTTTCTATAGCATTTTCAAAAATGAGACACTGTTAACAGTATTGAAGATTTTCTGGTAGGGCGCAGGAAAATGCTAATTTTTTTGGCAAACTTTGATTGCAAAAATCACTTGGCGGAAACTCATCATTTGTCACCAATATTATCCTCCATTAGTTTTAACTGGGACCCATGCTCTGGAACGGAGATCCAGTACCCTATAAAATCCTGGTTCCGCCACTAATGTCTTCGTTCTCCCTCGATATATTCTCACTATTGCAATCAATACGATTGTTCGTATTTAACCGTTGCGCAGTACCGACCGGGGTCATTTTTATCTATTCTGTTCGAGGTATACAAGAAAACAAAAATAGTCGCTACTGCAAGAATTAAAAACAAGATTTTATCGATTTCTTGATAAATATCGAAACCCTAGTTTGAATTTTTTGTCATTGAAAGTCTCAATTGTTTTTTGAATAAGTTTTCTCTTTTCACAGATCGATGAAAAAGTCCACAGGGGAAACCTACATCTGTAAAACAAAAGTTAGACAACAAATCCAAAGGATCAGTTCGTTCAAAGTAAAATATCTCGTGTTCACATTGAATCAAACTAATCGTGATAGGATCGTTTTTTTCCCAAATTCTCCTTTTAATCTTTCAAATCAAGAACTTCGATGTAATACTTCTCTCCAATTTACTTCTAAAAATTCAACAGGTTTTTCTCTTTGACATAGTTCACCAAGAGGAACAAACAATATACATTCCATGGATTTTCGAAAGTGATCTACTCTAAATTATCATAACATTAACCGGAGAGTTCGCTGTGATCGCAGACCAACACTTTTTTCTAACGTAAGTGCTTTTTACTTGCCTTCAGCGATGAGTTGTCTTCATGTCAACCTTAAGTAGTAGATAAGATGTTCAAAATCAATCATTTATTCAAAACAGAACTTTCGAATTATCAGTATGAAACTGTACTACGAAAATACCCTTCGAAATGTTTTGAAGGTCGAGATATTTCAAATGAAGAATATAAACAATTGACTTTTGAGCAATTCATTCTTGTTTCGATTCTTCGAAAATCATCTGTAACTCTGTGGATAGCTTCATAAGCAACATTAACATTAATATTGAATGGTAAAGATGTTTTTGTGTCCAAAAGAAATTCTTCAATATAATCATCATGAACTAACAAAAGATCAAGTGAACTGAGATGTTTGTAATAAATTAATGGCAAATAGTCATTGGCATTTTTTGACTTTTCATTTTGTGCTTGCCTATTAACGACAGATAACTCTTCCAATAACGGAAATGACTTTTGAATTCGACGAAAAAACTGATGTTCAAAAGGCCGTTCGTCAAATAAGGATACCTTCCGAACAGATGGAAATAAGCCATCTTGGAAATTATTTGCAATCCGTTCATAACTTGTTAAAGGAAATGGTAATGTATATACATAGCATTGGCTTTCATTTCTATTTGGAAAATAATCAACACAAGAAACAATGTTCTCAGTTGGAAATTCAAGAAATGTCTTCTGAATATCTTCATTTGTTAAGAGATTCATTTTGTCATAATCACGAATAGTCGAATAAATTGCAAATATAAACACCTTTAACCGTGGAAAAAATTCGATAACATTCGCTTTCAAATCATTTCCATCGACGAATGATTTTCGACGAGAACATGCCATATACAGACGAAGTTCTTCTAGTTTTAACATACGACGCAACAATGGTACAAGAAATTCGTCATAACAATCAATTTCAAATAAATTTGTGAATGAGAAAGATCGTAGATTTGATGATTTCACCTAAAAGATAAGAACCAATTTGGGTGTTTAAAAAAACTGGACTTAACGTTACTTGATCAAAATCTAGGAGTGAACGACTACGACTCGAATACATCACTTTAACATTAAACACGCAAAGCTGATCAAAACGACCGTCAAGAATGTAAAGACAATCATCGATCCAACGCAGTTGAATCGACAATTCTCTCAATGTTGAAGAATAAACAGATAAATGAGCTTTACTCATTGTAGTGATCTGATGATAAACCTTAAATGGATTTAAATCGAGCGATTTTAAATTGGAAAATGTGTAAATCAGATTTGTAAATATAAGTTCATTGAGATCAAATGGGTAACCAACATTGCCAGTAGTTTGAACAGCGAGGGATGAGATTTGTTTTCTCAATTGATGACATAATAAAGTTTCATCTAGATTAATGAAAACGTTTTTATTCAAAGATTTTTCAAACATCAAATCTAACCTGACAGAAGATGCAATGCGTAGGTTTTTGTAATCCCATATACACCAAGTCCAAATAAATGCAGAAAATTTCCAGAAGAAAGAACACGTTCTAAAGATGATCCTTCGAGATTCATCCATTGGATTTTGTGCTCGATAGCCGGTAAGACCTGCGAACACAACCGATCGAGTACTAAAGGCGATAACGAACAAATATCTGGAGGTGAGAATTTCTCTAATAATGTTAAAGTATTCGTAAAGATAGAATCGTGTAAAACGCGATCTAAACGCTGATGAACACCTAATAGCGAACAAAATAATTCGATTTTGTTAAGTTTTCGAAAGATGATTAACAAAATTTCATCAGGTAGATCAATTAATTGCATCCTTGAATACTTCAACTTTGCCTACAATAATATGGTATTTTCTCTTCGAACTGAATGTGAACGATTAAAGAGACATACTGTTTGTCGATTCTATCTGCCGATATGATTCGATCATTCTTGCCTGATTGTAGAATTGACGATAGATAAGGTCATGAATCGGCTGAAAAAAATCGAATGAATGACGTAACGTCACGTCAATAGTTTATTTGAGACGACTTTTTCGTGAAGAGGTCAAACATGCAGAAGAAGAGTTAAATCATTTTCTGTGGGGGTTAACTTGACGGTGGTGAAACGATCAGTTGTTTGAAACACTGTTGTGTCTGTTTCTACTATCTTCATCAAGGTGCGCATAGACGACTGAGGAATTGATCTTCTTTTCCATTTTGTCGAAAACTCGGCAGAAATTCACATGGTATATTTATACAATCAATCATCTCTCAACTTCGATGAAAAAATATATAAACGAAGTCAAACTCAGAGGATGATTTGTCGAGCAGCTGAAAAAGCGTTAAGTTTCGATCTGGTGAAATATTCCGAAAAGAATTAATGGAGGTACACATGAATACGCGGGATCAAGAAAAATATCGAAACAGAGCTAAAGCAATACGGAAATGTTGAGTTGAAAATAAAATCAAAGCTTTCCGAATCTAGTTTTCTCTAATTCATTGAAGCTATCTTAATTGCTGCTTCCATCCTCACTGCGATCGAGTGAGTTCAATGTTCCTATTGAATTATTATTTGACTCGCAAAGGGAATCTTTATGTCGTTCATATGACGACCAACCGAATTAAAAAATTTGACTTTATCACTCAAGAGAAGAGTTATCTGTTCATGATTGGTAAATGGAAATAAGAACTTCTTTGTATTTTCCTCGTTGATTGAAAAGACCCTTCGAACTGTTGTTTGGAGAATAAACAAGAAATATATTCAATTGCATCAAACAGTCGATAAACTTATTTTTCTGAGCTGTATGCATCTTTTCAAATTTTGCCACATTGACAATTGGATTTAATGTTTAGTGTTCCTGTGCGATCTATTTATGTATCTTTCTAGTTTTTCCGCACTATTCAATGTTCGTCGATTATATTTCACTTCCTTGCTCTACCTTACGTGTGAAAACAAAACGTTCCACTGAAATGGTTCCGTCTTTTTCAGCAAACATAGGGTACAGACTAGTCTGGACTTGCTATATATACATGGAGTCATTATGACTTTCATATATTTGGTCACGTTTTCAGTAGGTTAAACCTAAGAATATTAACCTTGATATTACGAGATGAAATTATGTAAATGTCAATTTTTCTTTCTCTCAAGTCAGCTTTATAAAGACAAGAAAAAGGAAATTTCGTCTAGATTAATAGGATTGAGCAAATATGTCAACTGAAATGGATCTCGTCTCTTCTCTCAGCTACGCAACAACGCAGATCAATCGTCATGTAGCAACATTTCTTCTTCTATTTGGTACTCTTGGCAACTTACTCAACATTTGCGTTCTAAATGAACATTCATTTCATGAGAATCCTTGTTCGATTTATCNAATCAGTTTATGTCAGTGACTGGGGAAATCATCGTGTCATGAAATGGGGAAAAGATGCAAGATATGGAATACTCGTAGCCGGTGGATATGGAAAAGGAAGTCGTCTTAGTCAGTTGGATAGTCCGAGTGGGCTGTTTGTTGACCATGCTGGTCATACTTACATAGCAGATTATAATAATCATCGAGTTATACGTTGGAGTCAAGGAAAGAGGGAAGGTGAACTGATTGTTGGTGGCAATGGGATTGGAAATCAATCAAATCAACTGAATATAGCCAGTGGTGTAACATTTGATGTAGAAGGAAATCTTTACGTCACTGATTATTTTAATCATCGAGTGCAAAAATTTGGTCTAATTTCTCAATAAAATTTTCATTCAAAGTTTTTACGAACTTTTGCGCTCTGTCATATTTGTCGCTCTAAACATTTCGATCTCAACAATCAAAATGCCCATGAAAGTTTATTGGACTCACAAACAGATTCGACTTTTTATATCGTATTTTATTATGCTTTTTTTGTTCTTATCATACATCACATGCAATATATTTTACCTAAGAAAACAAGCTCAAACAGACTTTTGATTCTTGTCTACGTCTCTGAATAGTGCGACGGAGCACACTGATAGAATAAAGAGCAATTCCTTTTCTTCCCTCTAGGCAAATCTGTATTTCAAGTTGGATGGCTCTTGCAACAATTGCGGGAATATTCACTATCGGTGCTGCTCTAAAAGGTCTAAATGACATTTACAATACACTCAGCAGAAAAGCAGATGTTACCCACATAACACGTAACACGAATGGTCATCTCAGACACCGCGGCAGATCGGACCCAAATCACGAACATTATTCATGGTGTACACGCTATCCTTGAACAACCATTTGCAGCTGTCGTCGGCTTTTTCTTGTTAGTGTTCTTGATTTTCACAATATTATGTTTCGTTTCTTTACTCTCTCGACAATCAAACGTTGCTTCAATTCTACATTCAACCATGTTCATTGCTACTCTTGGCATTATAGATCGTGCAGTGAGCGTTCATGTGAAAGGAAAGGAAGTCAACTACTCGTTATCAGTTCAAACAATGAAAATGATCGCTATCGTTATACTCTCTGTACATTATTTTCACGGTACTTCAGAACGGGATACGGTATTTATCATTTATATGTATTTATTTGATTATGGTACTCTCCTTCTTCTACCAATACTATATTTCTATGTTCAAAAGATGAGAAATTCTCTTAATGAAGCTGGATCTTGGGATTTTATTCAATATTAGCTTTTCGGATGGATAGGTGTGGATATGGTGATCGTATCTACTATCATTTTAATCTTATGTGCCTGGCTTTGTCGTCTTATTTTCAAGATTTTATCATACTTTAGTGTGAGTATGACATCTATATTGATTCCTATTCTTATCATACTGTTCTATATCTTACGGCCTGGACGATAATAAGTAATATCTGTCAACATTGAACAGAACACCAAATAGCAGGTGTAATTATTTTTTGATATTAACTATTTTCATGAGTTTCGAAATGATCTCGATCTATACCTCATAAGTCTTTTCGTTATTTTACTTTCGACTAAGAGAACGTGTGAGAGTGACAACTATACATGAAGCAGAATCTATTTGACTTAAAAACAGATTTACTGATTCAAATGTGAAATGTTCTTATGGTTGATATTAAAAAGATCATATTAGCAATCATTTCATTCTTGTCTTGTTTGATTTATCTTTTCTGCATGCAACAACGAATCAAACTAAAAACATTATACATAAATCGCGACTAGTAATCCTTCTTTCCTGCATATTTTGATTTATATCTACGAAAAACGTGTTTACCTTGTTAGACAGTTAGAAATCAACATAAATGCATAGATTGAAAACAATCCTCTCACCGTTATAATCGTCAGGTAACGTCAACGATATTTATGTATAGAATGCGTTGTTGGCCATCCAATACATATCTATATATTATAAACGGTTTACTGTTAAAACACCGAAAAGTAAAATGTCGAAAGACGAATGGTCGAAAAATAAATATCGAACATGAAAAAAGATGTACTTTTGTTCGTTTTGTCAGTTGATTGACAAGTATATACCTCACATAGGGAGAAATACACTTTTTTTGTGTGATTAGTGCTCCTCAACATCGAATATTTTTACGAAATATTTGGAGAAAATTAAACCACGCTTCGATGATTACTATACAAAATATGGATACAAAAGGCATTGTTTTTGTAATATTTACCGTTTTTCTATTTTCATTTTATCTTTCGTTTGTTTCATTGATCACCATAGCTTCGATTTGAATCGTTCTCAAATATAGTTCAACGGCAATTATCCCGACTGTATCAATAACATTGGAAATCACGTCACAATCAAAAGTATGATCGAGAAATTCTTTTTTTGTAATGAATATTCACAGAGTATCTATGAAACTATGAATAGTTTTGGGAAACGCTGCGAGATAGTGGGACATCTAATTTGAACAAAGAGAAGAGTGAAACTGAAGTATACGATGACGATTTATAGCTTGAAGTTTTTTATGTGAAATATTCATGGTGAACTGAGTGGGTTAAGAGCATAAGAGTCGACTTTTCTTTATCAATACATAATATCCTTTACGAACAAGAAATTGGAGTCGAGACTACTTTCGATCTTTTATCAGAAAAGCAGTTTTCCTTATCAGCACGAATAAAGAAAATGTAGTGACGCCTTATTGACTTGTGCAAGAATATTTTTACTAATAAAGATATCTCATACAGTTCTCATATAATGTAATTTTCGCCAAAGATATCTGTGACAAAAGAGGAATGAAATAATTACTTTTAATCTAACGGTCACAATATGATACAATACTTTCAGTCCGATTAAATCCTATTTACTTTTCCTTTAGAAGCACTAGTTACATCGACCTTTTTATTTGGATAGATTAACTTGATGGATTATGATAACAAGAGCAAGTTGTACACAAGAAACATTCATAATCAAGCTTCACCAATGTTCAATTTTCACGAGAATAATGTGATTTTTGAGCCTCAACCAATGTATGATCTACGAACTCGTTATGAAAAACCGCGTAAAAAGACAAGAAATGTTCGTACACAAACTAAGGATGTTACTATGTTCTCTAATGAGCTTCGCGGAATGGATTCTCAGACTTTTATAATAGATATCGATGATAAAAGGTTGGACAAGTCACTATACACCATCGACAATGATGGTGGCATGATAAATGATCGAGATGCTGAACTTGATGCAAAAGAAACATATACAACAAATACAACAAATACAACAGCGAACAATCCTCCGCCAACAGATCTCGATCCTCTCATCGAATACGCCGAAGAGCCTCTCTTATCACTTGAAGAAGCTTGTGCTCCGCTAGATAGTATTCTCCATAATTTATCATTCTATGTTCAAATGGCACTTGATGAAACACCAAAGGAACCGCCAGATAATTTAACCATAGATGAGAGTGCAGCTATTCGTCTATATTCAATTGAATGGGCAGCACCACATCGTAGTCTTTATTCTATGCTCAATTATACATTGAAGACGTGCCCTCGTTCGGAACTGCAACCTTATTTCAAATACATGAAACTTTTCTTAAGTGCTCTAGTGAAATTACCATGTGTTCCACCGTTGACAGTTTGGAGAGGTGTGACGAAAAACTTGAGCGCAGAATTTCCTCCTGGAACTCCTGTCACATGGTGGGCGTTCTCGTCGTGTACGACTGAATTGACTGTTCTGGAAAATAATATGTACTTGGGTAACGAAGGTAGTCGAACACTGTTTTCAGTCGAAGTGTTCAATGGCCGAACAATACGTGCTCATTCTCACTTCGTCACGGAAGAGGAAATACTTCTTCTACCTGGTACTCATATGATTGTTCAATCATTATTTAGTCCAGCACCTGATCTTCATATTATTCATTTGAAACAAGTGATTCCTGAAATAACCTTACTCGAACCTCCTTTCGAAGGTAGATGAAGAGCTTTCCGATTCACTTTCACGAGTTAGTTGACTTCTCTATTTAGGCGCTCATATCTATCCAAAGATCAAGTAAACTCTACTTTCACATCTGACAAGGAATGCTGAAATATTCTTTTAGACGCTCATGGTATCGCAAGAAAAGGTATAACATTCCAGTATGTTTATTAGCGCTTTTAGTTGTTGGAGCAATTATTCTGGGATGTGTGTTAGGTCTACGATCGACGACTAAAACACCAGGTATTCTTTCTGATTAAGATCTATAGTGAATACACGACACTGATCTATCTGATTTCAGCATATGTTTGCATGGAACCGTATCCGATTTCGTCGAGTTTCACAATTGGATCTTCTCCAAGTTATCTGGCGGTGGCAGATTTTAATAACGACACAAACTCAGATGTAGCAGTTCTTACCGAAGATTCGAATCCTCTTTACATCTTATTTGGCAACAGTGGAGGAACCTTTCCAACTGAAATAAGTTTCGTATCTGGTAATTTTCCGTATAGTGTTGACGCGGTAGATTTGAATATGGATAACATGACGGATTTAATCATAGCAAACGAAAACGACAATGCATTCAGTGTATTTATTGCCAATACTGACGGTTCATTTGGTATTCAGACTCGATTTCAAATTGGTGCCAGTGTGGGTTCGGTTGTAGCAGCTGATGTTAATAATGATCAAATTCTAGATCTTGTAGCAACTAATCTTAAAGAAAATACCGTAAGCGTTCTATTAGGTATTGGTGATGGAACATTCATCGGACTTACATTATATCCAACTGGCAATCGCCCTCGTTCCGTAGCGACAGGTGATTTTAATAATGACTCAGTCATCGATCTGTCAGTAGCGAATCAGGATGATGGTACTATTAGTGTATTACTTGGTAATAGCAATGCCACATTCCAGGAGCAAGTCATTTATTATGTTGATCCACTCGTAGACACTGTGATAGTACGTGACTTTAATTATGATGGCATACTGGATCTAGCAGTATCGAACTTCGGATATGACAACGTTGGTATATTGATAGGTAATGGTGATGGAACGTTTCAAGATCAGATTGTATTTGAAACCGAGGGCGGACCAAATAACTTGGACGCTGCTGACTTTAACAATGATGGCATACTAGACTTGGCAACTCCTAATTGGAATTCGGAAACTGTCTGTGTATTGTTTGGAAATTCAGATGGTACTTTTCAGGATTGTGTGTCGTATCCTGCAGGAGCTACTCCAAGTGACATCGCTTTTGGCGATTTTAATCATGATAACTATACGGATATAGCAGTGACTAACTACAACGACAGAACTGTTAGTGTATTGCTCAATCAAGGAAATGGAACATTTCAGTCACAAACGAAATATACCGTTGGTTCTGGACCAAGATCATTGGTATCATTCGATGTTAATCAAGATCATCATCTGGATTTAGTTATCATATGCCAAACAGATACAAATAATTACATTCTATTAGGCAATGGAAACGGACTTTTTCAGGCTCGAGTACCATATGCAATGGAACAAAATCATCAATTTATGACATCAAGTGACATTAACAATGATAAGATGTTAGATCTAATTCTAATCTATGACAATAACATGCTTCGTATATTTTATGGTAGTGCAGATGGAACGCTTGAAAATCAAATAGATTATTCACTTCCATTCAATGCTACTTTTGTATTAACTGCTGATTTCAATAATGATTCAAATTTGGATTTAGCATTGACTAATCAATACAACAACTCCATCATTATATTGTTGGCCGGGAAAAATCATACTTTCAATACCGATAATACCTTCCAATTTCCGGTGGGTAATCAGCCAACTTCACTAACCACGGGATACTTTAATGATGATAAGATATTGGATTTGGCAGCAAGTAATTATTATGGAAGAAATGTCAGTGTATTATTTGGACAGGGTAATGGAACATTCCAGTCTCATATTATGTACAAAACTGGCCCCAATCCGTATTCTATCATATCTATTGATTTCAATAATGATCACTATATGGATTTAGTTACCGCCAATCAGGGTGAAAATACTGTTAGTATTTTGTATGGTAATCAGAGCGGAACTTTTCAGACATTGATGAAATTCAAAGTAGGAACTGGACCAACTACTTTGCTCTCAGGTGATTTTAATCGCGATGACAAAATCGATATCGCTGTTGTCAACCAAGGAGCCAACGACATCACCATATTATTTGGCAATGGAACTACAAGTCTTCTTTTTCAACAAACATATTCAACACATGTTTGGCCAAGTGCTTTGGTTTCAGCTGATTTCAATAAAGATAACAAAATCGATTTAGTAGTTACAAATAAAAAGTCTGGTGACATGACCATTTTTCTGAATGCATGTCTGTAATCATTGGAAAGACTACTGGTGATTTGTTTAAATTATAGAGATTAATAGGAAGACATTTTTATATCGACTCTATTCCTACACATTTCTACATGGACGTGTGATGTGTTCGATTTTTGTAATAAAGATTATTCTCTTATGTTCGAAATATCCTGTAACCCTTGTTTTAGTAGTTGCTGCTCGGCTATGAAGATACTACGTCCTCATTCTTTCGAATTTTCCTTCCTATAGAGAAGTAGCATATTCTTAGTCTCTGATACACAGCGGATTGCGCATTGAGGGTGAGTCAAATCATGGTGCACATTAGGTTTCTTCCATCATCAATACGAAGATATCAATATCAATCGTTATATAATATCATAGAGACAGCTATTCAATGTAATTCTCCATTTCGTGCAGCTGGAATCATGTTTTACCGAAAGACGAACTTCTATAAAATTGCGTCACAAAAACGTTTTTGACACAACAATTTCATAATCACCATAAATCGATCTGATATCCCTGTTCACAATGATAACCAATCAACGATCGAGTGGACATTCACTATAGATAATTTTCTACTTCTCTTTCATGGTAATTTCAAAGGCAGCGTTGAATAACTTTAACTAAATCAACTAAATTTTAGCTCACTAAGTTTGTTTGTTGAAGTCAACCATGCATCAAATATACCAGAGTACAAACTCATGTGACTGCTGTTTGATAAACATTGCCTGTGGATGTCTCCCTGCAGCAGATACTCAGAATACTAGTGTTTGTGCTTGTCTCCAGAAATTCTGTTCCCGCCTCACTCTATGTTAATCATCGTAAGATCGTTATCTAACGGTAACCCGAAAGGTGTTTCACCGACACGGTTCTCTTTCGGTTTTGGAAATAGAACTTAACAAATGGACAACAGAACGTAGTGATCATTGTGGAAGGATAAGGAGAAGGAAGCCAATGAAATCAGTTTCGTTATCAACACGACATGTTTTTTGATGAAGATATGAAGATTTTAGTAGGGGATAATTATAATCATCGCATTATGAAATGGAAATCGGACGAAATTCAAGGAACAGTTATTGTTGGTCAAGCTGACCAAAGAAAAACCGAAGAGTAATTCGATGGTTCAATGTGACTTATCAAGAAATTCTCATTGAAAATATTTCATGCTATGATCTATGAATGGACAAATATGAATTTCTTTATGTTTCTGACATCGTCAAAGACGAGGATGAGAAGATGGAAAATCGGAGAAAACAAGCAACATTAGTGACTGGTAGCAATGGCCGAGGAAATCAATTAACGGATCCTACTATTAGTGTTGTTGATGATGAACAATCTGTTTACGTCACCGATCGTGCAAATGATCGTCTCCTGAAAGGGAGAAAAGATGTGACGGGAGATCTGATGGTAGTTGATGGAAATGGTTATGAAAGAAGTTTCAATCAATTTAACTTTCCTCATGAAATCGTTGGTGATAATTCTGATCGAATTTACCTGGTATAGACAATTACAATTATCGAATTATGCGTTGGAGTGAAGGGGAAAGGAGAAGGTGAGATCACCGTTAACGGAAATGGTAATGAATCACGACTGAATCAATTAAATGCTCACATCAATTTATCATTCGACACGGATGGAAATCTTTATGTTAGTGATATGGCAAATAACCGAATGCAAAATTTTGATTTAGATGTTTTTAAAAAGAAGAGTTTTCAGTTCTCTAATCGTAATTACGAACAAGAGCTTCTCGCTATTTTCCCCATTGATTCACAAGGCTTAGGAAATGCTGTTCTGAAAATAAGCAAGAAAGAAATATCCACTTGCATCAAACATCACATGTACTTCCTTTTCAGGATTAGTTGTTTCTATAAATAAATATGTGATCTACTTTAGCTACATACATCTCTTCGTATTTTGACAGATTAACAATCATTTGGATGTGATATTCCATGTTCCTGTACGACCTATTAATGTATTTTCTTGTAGCTTTTCCGCACCATTCGATGTTGGGCGATTACATTTCATTTCCACGTCCTACATAACGTGTGGAAACCGAAATTCCCGCAGGATGGTGCATTTCCTTTTAGCACAAAAAAAGAACATAGAACAGTATAGATTTATACTACTAATCTTTGCTATATATAAATCAAGACGCCGTGTAAGTCATATAAATGAACTTATCATGACATTTGTTCGTTTGGTTTCCATTTTTGAGAAGAAAAGCCTGAAAATATTAATCTTCATAGTTAATCATTCCGTCACTGGCGAGACAAAAAAGAGAACCTGTTACTTATATCAACAAGTTTGAGCAAATATGTCAAATGAAATGGATCTCGTCTCTTCTCTCAGCTACGCAACAACGCAGATCAATCGTCATGTAGCAACATTTCTTCTTCTATTTGGTACTCTTGGCAACTTACTCAACATTTGCGTTCTAAATGAACATTCATTTCATGAGAATCCTTGTTCGATTTATCTCTCTTGGTCATCAATAACAAGTTCGGTCTTTATTTGGTCGGGCTTTTTAACACGAGTCTTACAAGGGTAACTTAGCACTGCTAACTATTTGCCAGTGAATCCAAACTTTTCATTGTAGTTATAATATCAATTGGCCAAATCAGAACTCCATTGCGTGCAAAACTCGTCAACTTTTGCTCAACGTTACTTGGCCAATGGGTATCTGGTGTCTTGTAGGAGCGAGTATCGATCGATATTTATGCAGTCATTCATCGGCTAGGTATCGCCTGTTTAGCACAAATCTCATAGCAAAGCGTTTTGTGCTTGCAATATTTATTTTCTTTTGTTGCTTATTTGTCGAAGTACTTTATTGTTTTGAAGGAAGTATTCCGAACGTTCCAGTTCTTTGCTATGGTCAAAATATACCTTGTCGGTTATTTAACGACTGGGCTGCTCTATCATTCGATATTATTTTACCAAGTTTTTTCTTGGCTGTATTTGGTGCGTTGACCATTCGAAATATTCGTCTAAGAAGTGTTCGTCCAATCATCAATTCAGAAGTTCGATCCAACCGTAGATCAACAATACACGCGAATGATCGTAATCTTACACGAATGTTATTGATCCAAGTAAATTTCATCACTGTGTTCTTTTAATTAAGTACGACTTTTATTTTTCAAGGTACTGTTCATTCTTGTTTTGGATTTACCATTCGGTATTTATCGTCCATATGCAAGTTTAACTTCGAATATTTCAAAAAGTTCCTATCGAGCAGCTATCGAAAATCTAACGTATTCTGTGATTGTACTTCTTATTTGTGTGACCCATTCCACTTCATTTTATCTGTATACACTTACTGGTTCAGTATATCGTCGTGCATTCAAACAAATTGGACAACGTTGGCTCAATCGAATCCGATTAATTCATTAGTAATACGGCGATTTTCGCTTTTTGCTGAACAGATTGACATTGTTACAAAAAATCTTGGAGATTTTTAGTATTGTCTTTAGCTGAATAGATCGTCATCCATCATAATTCTGTTCAAAGTAAAGCCCCCTTGTCCTTACCCTCATAGTCGATTTTAACGATTTCATAGATTAATAGATCATTTTAAAGACTTTGAATTGCTCCAAAAACCTTCTCTCTCAGACATGAACTTTCAATCAAATATACAAAAGTGGATCATTATCATATTCATCTAATGGATGAATAAGATAATAAGGCGATAATTTAAATAATTTCTTCATTCTTTATTTTACATTAGCAAAAATATTAAATCTTTGCTAAGAAGTCAAGCTTTGGTTGGTTTGTCATCTATAAACACCTTGAATAACTTTCTTTCAAACAAACTTCTCATCATTAAATTCACATGTCCACCAATACCATCTAGATTACTCAGACAATACTATACATGTTCAAGACATCGATAAATAAAAAGTAACATATTGAGACGATTGTTCTTTGATAATTTACCAAACGTTCGTCCAAATGTCCACTTACCTCGATCGTCCCACGGCCTTCAATTATATCCATCAATAATTAAATCTAATATTTCCATTTGTCTTTGACATTCCATAGTGAATAATAATAAATATACGAGCTAAAAATATTTTAAATCATTATAGGAAGTTTGCGACGAACGATAATAAAACCGCTGGTATATTGAATACAATAGCAAATGCCAAACATCATCATTTATATCAAACTCAATAGCATCATAGGCTTCTAGAACATCAGTATTCAATAGATTAAGTATTTTAAACGTCTCAGTCACCGGTTTCAACAAAGACTGTTGCGTAAATTCAAGATCATTTGGATTAACAAGCTGGAAGGTGTCCAGAGTTTTTCCAAGATAAAATCGTTTTAATATGTATTCACATACACTGTAAACGCGTACTTTTTGCAAGTACTAGTGTGTCTTAAAGATTCTATTTGTTGAAGACTTATTTTTGAAAAGTACGAAGATTTTCTTGAATCCGCTTTTGACAGTACATCTGTCATTCTTCAACAGAACAAGAGATTATTTGTTGAAAATATCGGCAAAGTTTTTCATTGGTAATCACTAAATTTGTGTATAATTATGGACGAGAGAGTTGCTCACATTCATCTGAATTAGAGTAAATGTAAGTGTTTATCCAGTAGAATAGAATTTTAAGTAATAATTTAAACTAAGAAATGCTCGAACAATTACATAAGTATCATTAGTATATTCCAAAATAAGCATTAAAATTTCATCAAAGGTGTTTCGAATGTTGTCAGCATGTTGTGAATGTTTTTCTTTCTGGAATAAAAGTTTGTCATTGAAAGTATTTTTAAATTACACGAATAGGATATTTGAACTCATGAAATCGTTATTCTGAAAGGTATTGATGAAGTTTTCACTATAGAATCGAAGTAATATCTTTTTTCGTGACATAGAATGAGAGATAGAATAAGCAATATGAAATAATACTCGAAGAAATATATTACAATTTGAGGCATGCGCATTTTTCTTCCGAATCCATGACAAGGATTAAACTTGTTTGTCTCATGAAGGTTTAAGAGACTGTCATTCTGTCAATGCAAATGAATGTATGTATTAAAGTAAAAGTCGCTTCCATTCACAACTTCTCTTCCAAAAGTTTTGCTAACATGTCGACATCATTCGATGATTATATCTACTATTTATCATTAATACAAAAGAATCTATATGCATACGGTGGTCCAATTGTTGTTATTCTCGGTACAATATGTTGTACAATCAGTTTGTTAGTCTTCTCTCAAAAGAAACTGCGCAAAAATCCATGTGCTATGTATTTAATCGCAGTTAACATATCGAATTTCTTATATATTTATTTATCAATATTGATAGTGATCTTAGCATTGGGTTATAATATCGATCTAAGTTCATATAACATTATTATTTGTCGATTTATTTACTATTTTTCTCTATTGTTCGATGGTCTTAGTTCATTTTACTTGATCTTAGCTTCGATTGACCGAGTTTTAGTCACCTCAGTCAGTGCTCTGACACGACAACGAAGCACTCGTCGTTTGGCTATTGCGTCTCTTACATTGGGAACAATATTCTGGATGGTATTCCACTGTCACACATTCATTTTCATCATCAAGCAAGAATTAGCACCGGGTTACTTTATTTGCTACTTCCAAGCAGGTTTATATGCGGCTCTTGTTGGATACTACTCAACCATCATCAAGGGAATTCTCACGTCTTTATTATTGATTATCTTCGGACTTTGGACACGGAAAAATCTTCGTAATATCCACCACCGACAAGTCGCTCCTCCAGGCGCTACAAACATGCATCCAATCGGTCAAAATGACACAACAGTTCACTTAAAGAACCGTCAATTTGCTCTGATGTTATTGATGGAGATCTTGATTTACATTACCTTCACGTCGATGTTATCTATCATCGGTGTCTATCAGCAAATAGCCAAGAACGAAGCGCAAACAGCGTTCAATTATTTCATTCGCATTATCGGCACTTTTGTTTCGTACACGCCAATATTCGCAAATTTCCTCGGAAATTTGTTCATTTCAAAAACCTTTCGGTCGGAAGTGAGACGAATATTTTCGTGTCAATGACGTTTGTTTTTCTGTATTACGAAATAGATAGTGGCGAGGCAAGAAGATTATATTCTTTTTTTATCGCAGTTCCGCTTTGCTTGTAAGCTCAACGTTGGATGAACCTCAGAGAAACAGTGTGTTGACTTCTGGTTGAATATTTTATTAAAGAAAAGGATTTAGACTTTCTATCTCAAGGTTATAAATGTAAAAATACCAATGTCAGTTACTACTCTTCATCGAAGCGATGAATCTGGTTCATGTGAACTTTCAAATCTTGTCGATTATTGAAATCTTCGTTACATAACGAGCAGTTCAGTTCATATTGTATGACGGTAGCATTGGTTCCATTCGATTTCTTATGAGATGACAAATTCCCTGCAAAATCAACGTACACATTCACTTGCTCAGTTTGT